TCACGGACCGCGAGATCGTGACCTGGCTGAAGTCGGACGCTCAACCGACTGTGCCACCCAGGCGCCCCTGGCTGTGTGATTTTTGAGGGCAAGTGACATAACCTGTGCTTCCTTCTTCTGTAAGACGGGCTCAACAGAACCCATCTGTTAGGTTTGCTGTGCAGCCTAAATAGATAGGGAACACTCAACACATCGGATGGCTCATAATCAGTGCTCTTGATGGATAGTAAATATCTTCCCACTTGCGAGCAGTAACATGTGTATGAGTCCTCCTGGTCGCCTTCTGTTTAGCTTCTTGGGAGAATCAACAGGACTAGAAAGGATCGGAAGGTACAACCATAGTTCCTCCAAGGTGGTTCATCTAAGTCCAAATGACAGCTCATGCCACTCAACTGGGCACCAGCCAGCCAGGCACGGTGCCGAGCACTTCTCTATCCATCAGCCCTCATAACTGAAGCTGGGAAGAATCCCATTTTACAGATCAGAAAAAAAGGAGGCTCAGAGAGGTGGAAGGGGGTAGGTTTTGGAGATCATCCTAGTGAAGATTTCCCAGTCATCTCGGGACACTGCTGCGTGGTTGAGAATGCCTGCATCTCTCCTCCAATCTTTAAGCTGCAGGGCTCTCCTTCTTCAAAGGAAGCTGGGGAGGAGAGGAGAGGGAGGAGTGTCTGGAGGGAGGTGAGAGGCCAAGGAGAGAATGCAGAGCTCTTCACGTTGGAGAGGGGGAGACCACAGTGACGAATTCACCGTGGGTGACTTATCTCTTGGTGTGTCCATGTCACTCCCTTGCTTACTGAGACTTTCGCCTTTTGCTTTCTCTTTCTCTTCCACTTCCTAGTGCGTGCTCCCTGCATTCGTCTTGAGAAGTGTTGCGGGAGAGGTCAGGAAGACGAGCAGGATGGGTCTAAGGGCTAGGGGTGGTTGGAAAGGAGACCCGAAGCCCGCTGCCTAAGCAGAAGGCATTACAAGGCTCCCCGGAGTCCCTGCGGATGCGTGGGAAACAGGTGCTCTGGGTCACTGGTACTCAAAGGCTGTAAGCGGGCTTCGTCTGAAAACAGCAGTCCTCAGCACAGTGTTCTTCAGACTGTTTCATCCCATTAGTGGGTCACAAAATCAATTTAGTGGAGTTTGACCTGCATTTAAAGAAAATAAAATAGAGTAGAAAATTAAGAGGCACATCACACTTAGGAAGGGTGAGTATTATTTTGTGTCTAGGTGCACACTGAACCCCGATGTCAGATGTCATGTCAAAGAATGGAAGACCGGTCTTAGGGAAGGGGCCTTGCTATCCACTAGCATGGCTTAGAATTGTAGTTCTGCCACTTACATTTTTTTTTAAAAAAATTGAATTTAGCTGTGAGATAAGGATACTAATGCCTACCTTGTATTTTGCAAGGATTAAAGGAGAAAGCGCATGCACTTATCACAGCCTGTGGCCCATGGTACACGTTTCAGCAGTGCACGAGAGCCTGGTATTTTATTCCAGTGCTGTTCAGTGACATCACAGTGGTGGCAGGAAATTGGCCATGGTGAGAATATTTATACACCACTGAAAACAGCAAATGCTACAAATCAGGCATTTTGGTGTGTTTTTTCCTCTTCTGGGAGCTGGTTGTCAAACATTTACCAGCTTCTCTTCGGTGCTCATAATTCTTCCTTTAAGAAGCCTGTCCAACTGAGACAGGTACGGGACTGAGCTGGGCTCAGTTAAGGATGGTTTTGGAGGGAAAGGATTAGTTGAATTTCTGGGTTTGGGGGAAAGTCCTAAGAAGACATTTGTATTCTCTACCCATGGAGTGTATGCCATTTATTTAACATTTATCATTATCGATCACCCACCAATGGACCGTCTTGAACATTAAAGATACTACTTGAGCTTTAAGAGCCGACAGTAAAATGTGAGTGCTGAAAGGCAAATACTCCAACCCCAAGTTCTGCTTACAAAGGCCCAGGGAGAGATTTCAGGCTTTTTGTGGTCCACCTCCTTGGGGCTCTGGACGAGGGAGTAAAGCAGAGGTGCATTTGCATTACCTGGAAAGCATTTTTTTTTTTAAGTTTATTTATTTATTTTGAGAGAGACAGAGACCGCACAAGTGGGGGAAAAGCAGAGAGAGAGAGAGAGAGAGAGAGAGAGAAAGAGAGAATCCTAAGCAGGCTTCACACTGTCAGGGAAGAGCCCAATGCGGGTTGAACCCAAGAAACTGAGAGATCATGACTTGAGCCAAAACCAAGAGACGGACGGACGCCCAACCGACTGAGCCACCCAGGTGCCCCTGGAAAGCATTATTTAAACAGAAATGCCTTGGGGCGCCTGGGTGGCTCAGTAGTTTAAGCGGCCGACTTTGGCTCAGGTCATGATCTCTCGGTCCGTGAGTTCGAGCCCCGCGTCGGGCCCTGTGCTGACAGCTCGGAGCCTGGAGCCTGTTTCAGATTCTGTGTCTCCCTCTCTCTGACCCTTCCCTGTTCATGCTCTGTCTCTCCCTGTCTCAAAAATAAATTTAAAAAAACGTTAAAAAAAAAAAAAACACACAGAAATGCCTTGGCCTTACTTAGTGGCTCAAAAGGCTTGCACTCTACTGCAAGGTGCTGTAGGTCCTAGCTCTGAAGGTGTGAAACGAACTAAACGCCCACGGCCTTCCTTCGGGCAGTTGTGCGCCTCAATGCGATTTACTCCTGTTGCTGGGACTGGCCGATCAGCACTCTGCTGTTTCTTGCAACCATTTAAACACCGACTCGGGCAAAAAAAAGACCCGCGGGTGAACGTGGCAACTTCTTGCCTTCAGACTTCCAGTTTGGCGCGGCTCTGCCTAAAAGTCACCACTTGATACAATGTTCCCCCTTTCAGCCTTTTTTTGCATTATGTAACTTCATAACAGAAACGGGTACAGAGAGGGGAAAAGTGACTTGCTCAAGTGCACACAGCCTTCTTGGCAGAGGCTTGGACTAGAAGCCAGGAAAAGGCCTTCTAAGTGGAGTGGAGAGCTTCAGGGTTTACAAACAAGCCCGAGTGAGTCCGAAGGGCATCTTCCCCAACTGGAAAATAGGATGGAGATGCCGCCTTCCTTCTTCACCCACGAAGAGGGACGATGCCCCAGCAGCGTCCCAGGGCGCCGAACCCGGGGTGGGTGTATTTTCGGGCCCCGCTGTGAAGCTAGGCTACTACAAGGCCTGCACTTCTGGGGGGCTGTAACACCCCTCTCCCCTGCGCCCCGCGCCACCCCACCG